AATGCATTCCACGAACTTCCTGGATTGCTTATGCCCTGATGTGTTGTCCCTCTAACAGATGTTGGAGTGGTTGAAGTCCCCCATGAGGACCAGGGCTTGTGAACATGAGGCTGCTCCTATCTGTCTATAGACTCGTCTCCCCTGCCTGTCCTTCCTAAAGAGCCTCTATCCTTCCATTCCAACACTCCAGCCATAGAAGCCATCCCACCACGTCTCCGTGATGCAATAAGATCATATCCCAATCATATGATTGATAAGATCCATATCATATCATTTACTGTTTGATACCAATGTTGCTCTTAAGTATTTGATAATTGAGTATATAGTTTATATGTTTCTTTTATATATATTATGTATTTGTTATCATTCATTATTGAGAAAGTTTGATAGTTTTTTACACTAAGTTGCTTTATTAAGGCTCAGGGTATAAATCAAAGCTGCTATATTTCTTTTTTATTCTAGCATTGAATAAGGCTTTGAAGTGGTAAGAACAAGAATCTTTGAGATGATGGTTAGCAGCTGTCTTCAACTGCTTTCTTGGATTATCAAAGAAAGTTCTAGATATTTCAGTTTTGAAGGTTGATGAGCAAGCTGTGATAATGACATCTGAATCTTATTCATGACTTTAGAGACAGGAGCTGTTCTAATGAAAATAGTTACCATCTGTTCTGTAGACATCCTTGCCTTGCCTATAGGCATCTGTCTCTACGGCTTTCTTAATTCCCTCTGACTCTCAGTCCTGTACCTTCCGACATCTGTGCCTTGCTTAGATTCCTTCCTTGCTGTCTGTTGTCCAACATCCTTTTTTTAAGTCCCATTTCTCCCAGAAATATTCCAAAGCAATCACATCCCCATAATCCCTTAACTAAATGTCCCATTTCTTTTTTTGCTTTAAATAATTTTTTAAAATTTTTAATGATTTACTTGGTTTTAATATGAGTTTCTTTGGTCATATGAGAGTTTTAAATGACTTTAAAGACTAACTCAAACAAAATGGATATCTTTGCCATCCAGAGGGATACTGAAGTAAAAAAAGAGTAAAGCAAAGGATTGGTTTGTTTTTTTAGTTATCATCCCTATTATTTTGAAAGTATTCTTTTCCTGGCAAGCAGTTAAATGTATTTGTATTCAGTGAGGCTTCTGAAAGCAGCATAATTATGGAAGACAGTCCAAAACACAAGATCTACAGCATTTTTAAAGAGCTATGATGTCCAGATAACTCCTGGAAGCAGTATGTCATGCAGGTAAACTGAGGAGCATGTAGAAACTTTAAAACAAGACTGCCCATGGCGGAAGTTGCTTGCATTTGATGTCATTTTAGTATATCTGTGATTCGTGAGGGAAACCTTTTTCATTCTTGCATAATATGTGCCTGTTATCCTCATGTGAGGAATTTCATAGGAACTCCTCAAGTAAAGATTTGTTTCACATCTCTCTTGTGAATTACTTCCATTGAAGACTGAGTATTTAAATCACTCTTAGTAACTTCTTAAAATACTTTAACGGATCATTTGAATCACAATCTTCTGTGAGTTAAAAGGTATTTTTGTTATGAACTGTTTTGTTATGAACAGTGATACTATATTATATTGTCATCTTTGGAACGATCCCAAACTTGCCTATACAGCTCCTTCACAATGGCAACTACTCATATTTATAAGATGAATAGAGTATTAAGACATAATTCCAGCATGCTGGCAACTGTGGAAGGCATTAATTCTTTAGCAAAGGCTTGTGCATATGAAGTAAATCAGCCACACACCTATTTTTCACACTTCTTATAAGGGAACATCATCTTACATGCATGCATTTTATGACTGGCTAAGGACAACGGCTAAAAATATCAAGCTACGTATATATGGTCATTTATTTTAACAGACTGTCACTTACCCAGTCACTGTTGTTTGACCACATCTTTAGTTATTTACAGAGTTCTTTACAGTATTAAGTTTTTACTGCTCTTTCAACACTTTTCTATCAGTCTAAAATTACTATGATTTAATATTAGTAATATTTCATGCTAGTATTTACAATGGTGCCAGCTACACCAGACAGCACTTAAGACCAATTAATTAATTCAATAAATAGAATTGACAGTAAAAAAGAGATTACTTAAACATCAAATATTTCAAATAATATGCAAATGCACTTCAGTATTTCCTTTTGATGTAGCTTTGATTTTCCCAGGCTCAAATCATTATTTCACCCTCTTATCTAAGTATTTCTTGTAGTAGATCTGAAAAGAGCAAGCAAAGTGTTGTCAGAACTTCCCTGCTTCAGTGTTGAATTTGAATTGCTTTTATACACTGACCACTTTTAAAATATTTGAGATGCAGGTCTCCCAGTCTAAACTTTGCTCCTTTCTACTGGTTTCCTCATGTATTGACTAAGCCAGATACAGACAGGCAACTTTTCGTCTGGACAACACCAAGTATTGGGCTTTCCCTTAGGAAAAGGTTAAAGAGCTGTGAGATCATAAGGTACGATAACACTGAACTGCACATTACTGGCAATAGAGCCAGAAGAGCCAGGTGACAAAAAGCAGAGAAACAGAATTAAACTACCAATAAGAAGAGAATATACTAAAAATGGATGGTACGTGCTGTAAATGAGTCACTACTGACAAGACAGTTTCCATCCAGCAGAACTCTCCAACCTGAACACCACAGTCCATATTCTACAACATGGGTTTGTATTGACCCTTCTCTGTTTACTGGGTCTTCAGTTTACAAGTTTTCTTCAATCTAGATGTCTCTAGCCTTACAGAGCAGATATTTTAAACTTTCTATTTATTTAAGGCAGCACATTGCATCTCAGTTTCTGTACTGCTCTTTGTTAACGCTCTCAGAAGAAGACTAAGTGGTGACTGGGAAGGGCAAAAAAAGAAAAGAAAAAATGGTCTGACATTTGTTGGTTTTTTTGCCAGGCTTCATTTTCCTAAGGTAAGATCTATACCCATTGGCTGGCACAACAACTAAAATATCTTTCCTTTCAGTAAAATATATCCTTTACACTGCTTTCAGCACTGAAGCTCTCTTTGCTAACAGGAAAGATGATACACTATAGGTGAATATCTCTATCTCAGACTGCTCATTTATGGACCTCAGTTACATTACAGTTGCCAAAGTCCAAACAAGCACTTCATCTATATCACTCTTCAATGCTGACATTTTTTCCCCAACAGAATTTCTTAATTGTTCATGCAGAAGCATCGTCTGAGAAGCAATGCACCTTCCACCTGCCAAAGGTATGTCATGTTTCCAGCTTGATACACGGAGATGCCTTATTTCCATAGGGACACAGTCCCCTAAGTGCATCATGAGTACATTAAAATATGATGACAGAATTGAGTTCAGCAGAAATCAGCTGCTTTTTTCACCTTCATGCAAAAGCAGCTATTAATGATGGGAGTCACTCACCTGACAAGTGCCTAAACTCAATACAGGACCAAATATTCATGAACACCTTTACAGCACACTTTTCCTATTAGCAGTTCTAGGTCATGCAGGCTGGACACAGCCTGTCAAACAATTCATCAGGTCTTTGAGCTACTGTCTGACATGATTTTACCTGTTTCTCAGACTTTGGCAGGGATCAGGTTGGACAAATTAGTGTGGTGGTCAATGATCTGCTCTGCAGTCTGCCCTTCCCAAAGGACCTCCTGACAACTTCTTCTCATCAGGAAGGATGGGCACATGATCACAGTGCAGATACACATCTGGTCCCATGATGGGCATCCACAAACAGTACGGAGCAGACAGAATCAACAGCATATGTGCCATGTCACAGAAATTTTGACCATGTGATGTGTTTGGTTTTGGTCATGTGGTCACGGTATAGTTAATTACTGTGCTAGAAGTACTGTACATTTCATACCCTTAATTATTATCAAAATGAAATATGAGTGCTACTGTCATGTTTTGATAAATACATAGAGGCATTTTTTTAAGAGGAATAATTCAGATCTTTATAAATAGCTTGAATTAAAAAAAAAGAGATTTGAAAACATTTAAAGGCTAAATTGTAATTAATTGTATAATTATACATTTTTAAGGGGAATAGCAGGCTCCTTTATAAGTTATACATTGTATTTTTTATTTGAAGTTTGTTTGAAAACAGTGAAGCCTGCAAAATGTTCAATGAATTGATATGACACTTCTTCAAACAGAATTGTCACAGAAGTTACACAGTTTCATCAGCATGGAAGAGTTGCTCATCAATGCTCATCTGGGTCCCAATCTAGTAAACTACTTAAGCATATCAGGTTAGTCTTACAGTTAAATAAGTAGGAATTTATGCTTTGCTGCATGAGGATCTTAGAAGAAAGAAGTTAATAAATTGTTACATTTTTCTACAAAGTCAAATAAAGGTTGAAAAATATTAACAAAACCAAGAAAAATTCTGTTGTATCTGACACATATTATTGCCATTCTTGCCTTAAGAATATGATTTAAAGAGTAAGGTCTGCTTATTCTTGCTGCCAAGATCTATCAGTCACCTCTGTCTGTCTAGATCTATTGATTTTACTCAGTAAACCAATGTATCTTACTGCTACCAAATACAGTAAAACATATACATTCCCGAGTTGTGAACTGGCATTTTTTTTAGGACATCTGCTTAAATATATTAGTCTCTGGAATACTAGGAAATGAAGAGAGACATACAGACCGCTCCAGTCATGTTCTCCTGTTGCATTTTCTTAGAAAATTATTTGCAATTATCAACAGATATTTACACAAGAAAAAGAGTAACTTCTGCAGTGACCTTTCTTGCATAACTCTGCAATAAAAAAGTGGTTCAAATATTTACAGAATTAATGCTTAAGTGAGAAATTGAAAATATACTGTTGGTACTTACTGAGTGGCAGCTGGACTATTCAAATATGCCCATAACAGTAAATAATAATCACGTGTTTAGTGCTTTATATCCTCTAGGCTCCTTGCAAATATTCTTTACAATGTTTCCAAAACAGTGAACAAGGAAAAATCACTTAGACTTACCCACATTTAATCTGCCTGTGACTTCCCCATTTGAATTGCGAGCATTCACAGTCACATTGTGAGTAGACTGGAGAAGCAGTGACGAGTCCTGAAGTATGGAGAAAAAAAAAAAAAAGTAGATTCAGCAGAATAATTAGAATTGTTGAGCAGGTGTAATTGGTATCTTCATTCATCCCTACCAACCTCACCGTGATCCAGACTAGCTATGGTAGGCAATTCAAAAGTTCATGTCATTCTTAGACTGCAGCCAGAGTGGAATTACTTCACCAAAACCAAAACATCCTCTTCCGTTAACTCATCGCTTGGTGTTGTGCTTGTTGAACTCCTCCCAGGTGATGTAATTTCCACTACTTATTCCCAGAACTTCCACTCAAACTCTCTGTACCTAGGCCTGTTGGAGCCTCCCCAAACTTCTCCTTGTCTTGAAGAGCAGATGAGTAACTGTTTTGAAAGACCTAGCTGCCCACTGTGCTCCATCAGACTAGATACATGGACAGTAATGAAACAGGTTCATGGCAAGAGACCTGGCAGGGGTCATTTGGAAGTGTCCTAAAACTTTGTGAGGAGAGCACTGAGTGGGTTCTTCTTGTGTTTTTCTTCGATTTGCTACCTGAATTGTCTTTAAATGCAGCTGATCTTCAGGGAGATCATACTGGCCACTGTCTTTACTTGATTTTAAGTATCAGAAAATTATCTGGGGACAAAAAGTCTGATCACACTCATTTGGATCAGCAAATTGTAGCCATACCAGTAGATTTAAAAAGAGTGGGGGAAGTTTTTTGCAGTACAGGTGTTTTCATACTAAAGCATACTTTGTAGCTAAAGGACAGGAGCCTAGTAACTGACAAGAGTGCCTAAGCAGATTTCCTTTGCCAAAGTATCAGGGAATATGTGATATGAAGAGGGTATTAGCAAGCTGCCTGCTTCTGACCTCAGAGGGGATACTCATTCCTAGATAAATGAGTTTCTAACTACTGGAATATTGTTAAAGATCAGCCTCTTTCACTTATATGGTTTCTGGTACTTTTTCTGGACTGAGAGAGACTATGCAGCACCTTGAAGTGCTAACCCCTGAAAATCACTCCCAAGTCACGTTCCCATCGTAATTTAATGCTTAGAGTATGAGATAACTTGAGAATTTTGAACACATTTTTACTACAAACTCTTATCTAGTAACAGTGGTAGAAGCAATACACAGTTTGGAGTCCCACTTGTACTTTTTTTTTAAAACAAGGATATCTTACAAGTAGGAAGATAGCCTATCTATCTCAAAAGAAGTCTACAGTGAGCAAAAGAAGTCTAAGTGAGCAAAATAAATGAATCTCATTTTGTAAATTATATCGAGAAAAAGTGAAAGCTAACAGAATTAACACAAATAATGAAAAGTATTAGGAAAAAAGTAAACAGTGTGTTAGAATGAACATTAATGGTAACAAGTTAGTATGAAGTGAAAAAGGAAAGTCAACAAAGATCAGGTAAATATATTACATTTAAGTACATGTGCTAAATGACCCACAAATCTGGGCATCTTTATTAGACTTATTTGACTGCCACTGGTTGATTTAAAAAATAAGTTAGTAATTTGTAATATCAAATTTAAGTGCAAATAAACTGTATTCTAGACTTGCAGCTTCCATACGTGTGGTTGACTAATTAAAAACTAGTAACATATTTATAAATGCTCATCTTTTATTTTGTCATGAATATGTATTAGTTAAGACACAACAGTGTTGCCCACAACTCTGTGTTGGACTTATAATGAAGGCATAAACTTTTAACAGGCTCCAGAGATGATGCACGGCAAGTAGATTTTCTGCTACATATTTTCTTAGCACTTTGGAGACCTCATTAGGTGTGAAAAGCTGTTAGGAGACTGCAAGGAGAAAACTATTAAGGCAAGGGAGAAAGCTGCTATGATAGCTGTGAGTGCCCCAATTCTCTAACAGACAAACTTAGAAAAAGAAATCATAACAAATAAGCAACTTTATGAGAATAAATATATAGATGGCACTCAGGAGATTAAGCTACAGGCAATTACTCCTCCAGAGAGTTCAAATATTTTAAAAAGCAAGCAAACAAATAAACAAAAAACCTCTAATGAATTATCAGTTCATAGGGGGCAGAGATATGCAGTAGCCTGAAGGCTCTAATTAATGCATGCTACTAATGATCATGATGGGTCATTAGACAGCTAAGCTTATACTAGATGCTGCCACACCTCTTTCTTCTTATACGGTACTAAATGTATTAAGAGCTGGAAGGAATATTAAAAAAGCACGAATGGTAGCTTAACATTGCATAATAATTTTTTGGGGCAGAGGGAGTTCTTAAGTATTAGCTATGCTGGTCTTAAAAAGTTACATGCCTTATTGGATAAACAATCTCAAGGGAAATTCATTTAAGGACATAAATAGTTTTCACACTGCCTATGAGGCAGAAAAGAATACAGCGTAAGAAACAAAATGGAAATACAGATTTAGCAACGGAATTTCACCGTCTAAGTAAGAGCCCTTCCAGCTGCTGGAAATACTTGTTGCAGAAAGAGAGAAAAAGAAAGGCTTAATAGACGTAAAATATGTTGGCATTGCTTAAATTTCAGTAATCGAGCATTTTAACAACCTCATCCTAAATCTTATATCAACTATGTTTTCTGATACATTTATTTACATTTTCTCTTGCTATAGTAATGCAAACAGTAACTTTTTCCCTAGTTTCAGAAAAGTCTCACAGCTGGCTATTTTTTCTAATGACTTGGCGAGGATGATTATATGTTTGAAGTAATGAAAGAGCCATATTCAGATTTTACTGTCATTGAATAGTACTTTACTCAATGAAATGTCCCATTGGTTGATGACACTGATCATAAAACATGGTTTTATTTTGTGAGAGTTCAGATTACAGGCAATAGTTCTGAAAAATATTCATTTTGTTGGCCGGAAACAGATATCATTCTACAAAAAATTCACCTGAATAAGTTTCAGAGTTCACCTGGATAATTAAAAACCAATTCAGATTCTCTCTTTCTTCCTCTCAACCCAGTACTTCAATAAAAATCCTTTGTACCATACCCATTCTCAGTGCCATTTTAAAGTCAACCTGCTTGATAAATACTTTCTTTGACCAAGTATGTTATTCCTTTTTTACCTCAATAATAACAATAAATTTTTCTGTCTATGTAAATAAGATTCAATCCTAAATCTTCCCATTTAGTGTTGTAGATTTTATACACATATGTAAAGATATCATACATTTAATATCATTGTCCTAGAAGTGACAAAACCTGAACTTATTAGAGAAACTAACTTTTCCAATAAGATCCATTAATTTTAGAGATATTTAAACTATTCCATAGTGGATGAATAAACAAAACAAGCAGTTTCACAGGGAAGCCTGCATTAAAAAATAATCTCAGTAAAAGTAACAAACAACTTTCTACACACTCTTAAAATTTTAGCATTTTTTATATACAATGACCTTTATAATTCCTTTTTGAGCTATTTCTTATCACATGCCTAAGAGAAAAATGTTTATTCTGCCATAGTATCAGAACATTGACCTAATGATCATGCGTGTAAAGTATGCAAAAATATGTGTGTATACACATATACATACACACACACACACACACACACACATATATATATTTCCATGACAGGTGCCTAGACTTTGCCTAAATTCAACTGTTCATAAGTGCATTAATTTTATTTTAGTGTTACTGAAAGATTATCTGCTTACCACTCGAGAATGGATTTCTTTGGCATAAAGAGGGAATAAGAATTCCGATTCCCCTTCCAGACGAAGGCCTTCTTTCGTAACACGCAGGTGTCCCATTCCAGTCTGAGGAGAAGATGCAAGAATTATACACATTTTATTATTGTTGCTGTATTTATTTTTTGTTCTTTTCATAAAGTGGAAATTTCCAGAGCTGCCTGACTCCAGTCCATTGATAAAGATATCCATACTAATGCACCTAAAATTCTGAGAATTCCTAATTTCTTCCAGAAGTATTTTTCTTTAAGAAATTGTAGCTTTAAAAAAAGTTATTAAAGTTGGGATTTTTTTTTTTTTTGAGGAAAAAATACAATATTACAGTCATTATCTTAAAAAGAAGTGTATTTGTATTGGCTGTGCTGAAAGACTCTTTGTACTTGCCTTCTAAAAACATCATGAACAATAAACTTTTACACGAGTACTCACATAAAACAAACCTTATGTTAACATATCAAGGTTTATTTTACCAATAATGTATTTCACAAGGAATATAATACTTCTAAGCCCATTGAAGAGACAAATAGGGATCACAGAATCATAGAATGGTTTGATTTTATTTGCTTCCATTTTCAGTAATTACTTCTTTCTTTTTAATTCATTTTTTCATTCCTTGGTTTCATTTTTTTCTCCTCTAATTGTAGGTCAAGGCTCTATCTTGTACACTATTATCTTCCTTCCTCTCTATCACCTGCTTGTCAGTTTTTATACCTTCCTTACTCTTAGTCACTCCCTCCAAGTTTTTAGCCCAGCCCATATCTTATTTCATCGTTTTTATTTTCTTTCATCATTATCATGGAATTGATAATGTGAAAAATGAGTGAGGAATTACTTCAGTAAGTACATCTGAGGATTTGCAGGCTGCAAGGTATTTCACAGGTATTTAGCTAATTTGTAAAGGATTCACCCCTCCCCCTGCCATAAAAAGTTAGAGAAAACTTGGCAAAAAATGTTCAGCCTTACAGCTTGGCCACACACGAAAATATTTCAAGTCAACTGCCTCAAACTACAAGGAGTAAGTGGGAGGGCTAAATAATAAACAATAAATCAAAAAAATATTGTCACTCCAAATATTTTTTCAGTTGTTCTGCAGGTTGTTCTGTCATGAGATACATGACATGCCACTGATGATACATCAATAATCTGTTCATCTAATGAATTATGCCACATCTGTTCATCTAACAAATGTTAGATGTAACCTGCCACCTGTTCATCTAATGAATTATGCCTACTACTGAAAAAAGTTGTAACTTTAAAAGACAATAATTATTTTCAAATATGGTATGTTCTCGCCAATGAGATTATATGTATTTTCTCTCTCTCCCTCTGTCTCTGAATAATGCTAAATATCATGTCTAACCAGCCTTCAATGAAAAACGGTAGCTATTTTCTTTTAACACGCTTGAAGAGAGACAAAGAGAGAAACGAGCTTTGCTTAAATTCCATAAGGTAAGAAATATTCATGTCAGCAGTTTACTCCACTGGAGAGTACAACTGTGATTCCTCCTCAGCAAGGATTTATTTCAGGAAAGAGGCTTTCAGAATAGCTATTTATGGAATCTGTTATTCAGTGTCAAATATTTTACTGCTTTGAAATATACATAATATACTGACTTTTCTCAGTGGAAGTAGACACAATTTCTAAACTCTAAACCATTGTAAAGCTTTTAAAAAGTACCTAGTATATACTGATGCATCTCATGAGGCAAAACTAAAATAAAACCTATGATGAGCCCCCTATGGCTTTCATAATCACAATTCCTAGGCAGCACTGAGTGATTTAGAAATATGTTTTTCTAGTGAAGACTACGGACAGTTTTTTCTAACTTGTGACACAAAACAGAGATCACTTCAACACCATAAAAATACATAGGTTTTAAGACAAACACTTTTGAAAAATATGACATGAAATATCAGGATATTCTAAAGAAATACCACTAACAAATGGCTCTCATTTAATTAACTAAATTTAGGATCTCATTATTGCTCTGACCTCATGCCTTTTCTCATCAGGTGAAAGTACATTATATTAACCATCAGGTTTAAACACAGTTTGCATATTTTTGCGGAATATAAGGAACTAAATAAACAGTATATTATAGAGCAGGTATAAAAATGACATTGAAATTTAAGAAGGCAGAGGAAGAAGTAGCAATTAATTCTTGCTCTGAAGCAGACCAGGGAAAATTAACAAACTCCTGGGTGGCAATCTCTGTCCTGCCTTTGGCTTTGCCAGGGAAAAATTTTTAGTAGAGACAAAAAAAATTTATAATTGATGTTGAAAAAGAAGATTATGCAATTTACTCAGCACACTCTAATGGATTCAGATTTTTCAGTAATGATTATTCTAAAAATGCTATATAGACAAAGGAATGTCTTTGACAACAAGAATAATATGCCATGTGACAAAACTTAGCACTTTAACTTATCTATAAGTTCTTATTCTTCAGTAAATCCAGTCATATCACTCAGGATTACTTTGCATAAGTATGTCCTCAAGTATGTCCTATTTTCTTCATCAGATATTTCATTTAAGCATTGACACAAAGCTCACATTCTCACATATTTGAATGAGAGTCTCATTATCCGTTCTCATTGACCACTCTGGAAGTGCAAAAACATGGAAATCTACACTTGGGTTACCTGCATAAATGACTATCTGTGATGATGAACAGATAAACTCTGTAACATGCATGAGACCGACAAAAATGCGGATTTCATATAATGATCCTCACTTCTATTACCATTATGACTGTAAACAGTTACTATTTCCCTAGTACCACAATATCTGAGCATCTCAAGATTGTAAGAGTACTGAGTTATGCAGTACTGTGAGATGGGGAAATTCTATTATCCCCCTTTTATAACTGGCAAATTGAAGTTACATGGAATGTAAAAGAGAGGGATTTAGGATAAACAACCACCCTAATGCACTGAGATCCAATGATAAGTTCCATAAAAAGGAGGAGTATAATGTTACACATAATGTTCTCTCAACAACCCCTCTGCTTCTTACATTACCATTTAGGAGAAGCCAATTATTATTTACTGAGTATTGTGACTTCCTCAGTGATGAATAACCTTGATGCTTTCAGTTTCAAGGATTTGATTCTGTTCCTATTCAAATCATTGAATAAAAAATATTTCTATTGACTTGAGGAAAGGGTCCAAATTTCAGTTAGACATGGACTCTGAGGCAGTTATAACAATAAGCTGTTGATTAGGAAAAAAAAAGAAGTGCTTCATTAAACATAGCGGATGTATGGCAAGTCTGGATTCCTGTTACCCTGATGTTGGGGACTGTCACTGCGTGAGTGTGCTGGCCGGGAGCTGTAACACACTGTTGTGCATATGACCCTGAGGCTCATGTTTTCTAATTTGTCAAAGCCCCCAGCAAGACAGGGACTGAGCTGTATAGAAGAGGAGGATGAAATAGTATCTCTCTAGAAACTGAGCAGATTTTGCTATTGCTGCAAGGAGTTGACTGGCATGGGAACTCCTGGCAGCTGCCAAACCCTTATGCACCAAAGATGTGATTTAGCATTAGTGTTCGCAAAGGTGTGACCAGTTTTACTTTCAAAACTGCTAGGCAGATTCTAACTGGAGTAACAGGATGTCTTCAACTGCAGTAGAAGCAATTGTTATCAGCTGAAAACGCTCTTGAGGAGGTAAGTGCTTGTAGAAGCAGAGCCAAAGCCTTCTACAAGAAATTCGAGCTCTGAGTTTGTTCAAGTCTCATAAAAGTTCAACAAAAGGCTCTTTAATTCAGAAATCATGGTCTAAAGGATATTTGACAGTTATTCAGCGAATTGTCTACATAGAGATACTCTAAACCACCTGAAATGAGTAGGCACCACTACTAGAATCTTAGTTAAGATTCACTGTTCTATGGAGCATCTGGATGGGAGGACCATTGCAGATGGGTTATCGCTCTCTTAGACTCAAGACACAACGAATGCAAAATATTTTTCCTCTGAAATAATGGAAAGCAGTTCCATTCCCCACAAAGCCAGTAGAGAAGTGCAGTATGTCCACAAGCTGTGGAAAGGCCTTTAAGTTTCTTTCAGAGGACCACAGAAGGACTGAGTCCTTCATCAGGACCAAAAAGTTCCAAAAGTCATATTCACGGTCAGGTGGCATGACTGCTTTCTTCTGGCTATGAATATCTGTGTTGAGGAAAATACAGACATGACTGGGTAGAGCAAGTTTGATAGCATTGGCATGGCTAGCGCTAAAGGCCTGTCTTGTTAAAACAGGATGCAAGAACTTTCCCTCTTTCATCTGTTGTCATGGTGAAACCTGCTGCTCTGGCTCATGACCAAGAAAGTCACATGGAAACAGTTGCACATGGCACATTGCTGTGGGACTCCTAGGAGGGGAAGCAAGCAGCTGTAGCTCTAGGGCTCTTGCACTCAGTGACTTGCTCTCAGGCAGCTGAGCCTTGTGCTGTCTATGTCTTACATAGTCAAAAAAGCATCAGATGATATATTTGAGATTTATGTCCCAAGCCAACATAATAATGTAGAGGTCTGCTGCTGTAGGCATGTGGCCCTTAAAAATGAGGATGAGGAACATTCACTCAGTGTATGATGAGTATTTCTAGTCACCTAAATTCAATCAATAACTGTAAATTGCATTTTCCTTCCAACATAGAAATTGATACACACGGGGCTCACTACATCAGGCCAACGACTCTTCTTATTATATCATCACTGTTTCTGCACCTTCTCAGCATTAGACTCAATTGCAGTCCTCAGACTCCTCTAAACAATGGAAATTAAACTTCTGGTCTATGTATCAGCTAGTAGCTGCACAGGTAGACGTGTATTTTCCTCTTTTGGGGAGAAATCAAATAACTAGAAAGACAGGCGTATCCATATGTTAGGATGGTTACAACAATAAAATCTCTAAGTTGATGCAAACATTAGCTTTCACATGCACTCAATTCAAATTAAAGTAGCTCCTGTCTCAGGAGTTAATAGCATGTTTGATTTGTAATACCTTCTCTCTGAATATTCAAATTTTCCAAATATTGAAAGTCCACACATACTGTAGTTGCTGATTGGAAC